CAACTCATGGCAATCCCATATATACAGAGTAGAACTACTCCAGGCTTTCAAGGCTATAATTTTTGGAAATAGATCATCAGGACTATTGTCCAACATGGCACAAGACAGAGCAAGTTTCAGATCCTTTGTTCATAGGGTCGCTATGAATCACAATTGATTCAATGGCACATAAGAATAACAACAATCGTCCAACATACCTCTGGGTTGATTTGAACCACCAACCTTTCAGCTGGTAGCACTTAACTACTTGCACCACCCGTAGACTTCCATATCACATTACCCAAGTTTATTACTTAAATGCTATCTTTGAAAAACACTCTTGTTGTATTCTGAGGAAATGAGAAAGGAACTTTTTGAAGTAAGCATGCTTTGAAGTAAGGATAAGGTATGAATAAACTCAGTAAGACTTACCGTTATTTAAATGATAAAGACCCAGAAGTAGTGCATAAAGACATAATTAAAACCTTAAATAATCCCAGAAAGTTAAGTGTATTTGGTGATGATGACAGATGAGAAATGAGAATGTGCTAAGTTATAACAACCAATATATTTTAAATATTTCAAAGAAAGAAAATAATAAAAAGAGGCTTTAATAACTTAGGAATAGCCACAAAAAATTGTTAAATGACACTTCTAAATCAATAGAAATAAATCTAATAAACTTAGTGACCATCAAAAATGATGAGGGAGAAAGTAAATGTCTGATTAATAGAAACAATGACTAAAGATGGTAGAAATAAATTATAATAGATAAATTTATGATAAGGATAAATGTATTCAACTCATCAACCAAAAAGAGGGAGGATCTTTAGCTGGAAACAAAATCAATTCAGCAATATTTTGCCAATAGAACACAGAGTTTGTTTTTTAAAGAGATGAGAAAAACCTTGGAAAAGGGATAAAACTTATATAGTGGGAAAACACGAATGAAAACAAAGCCAGAATAGCAATTTTAATATGACATAAAATATAATTAAAAGCAATAATTATGAGACAAAGGGAAACAGGTCACAAAATAAGAGAGATAATAGATTGAGTATTGAAACTATTTTTTAAAATGATTAAAAATACAGTGTTGTTGTTAGGTGCCTTTGAGTTGGTTCCTAATGTACAGAAAATAAAGTAAGACTCTGCCCAGCCCGACACCATCCTCTCAGTCAAAGCTTGATTTGAGGGCATTGTCACACCCACTGTGTCAGCTGATCTGATTGCTGGTCTTCCTCTACTGATAACATGTCCAAAACACCGGAAATGAAGTCAAGACAACAAGACAGATGTGTTTGTTCCTCTGGAAGTTCACTGTATATTCAAAATTCTTTGCGAACACCATGATTCAAATGCATCAAATCTTTGTCATTTTTCCTTATTCACAGTTCAAGTGTTGCAGCATATGAGGCAATCAAAAATATCATGACTTGGGTCTGGGGCACCTTAGTCTTCAAGGTGATATCTTTGCTTTTTAACACTTAAAGGAAATCATTTGCAGCGACATAATTTACATAAATGTAAAGGGTATCAACAACCAATACTGTATATTGTACATAAGCATATAACCAAGAACATAGATCAAATAGTAGGCCTGGTTCCAGTTGGTGGGGGTGAAAAATTAAGAATGAAAATTAAAGAGGAAGTCAAGAAAAAGGAAATTAAACAAAAGAAAGGTCTTTCATGGTCAAATGGCAACAGTAAATTAAAAACTAAGGAAAGTAGTTAATTTAACTCTTCAGGTCAAAACAAAACCAAATTTTCTCCATAATTATTGAGAGATGAAAATAGAATCCAATTATCCTTAAGTTGGATGCTATAGCAGTCAGCCAGTCTAATTTCTTCCCAGAAAAAGAATCCTGTTTCCCACATCCTTAGAAAATATCTACCTGAACCACAGCATAAGGCAGACTGTTCGATTTAAGAGTAGTTCTTGTGGGTTCAGAAGTCTTTCTTCCAGAGCTGCTATACATAGGGTTGCTATATATCGCAGGTGACTCAACAGCACATAACAACAAAAACATACTAAATTGATTTTTATTTAACCCCCTTGTTTAACATCAACAAAACCTTGAGGAAGCCCTTTGTATTTAAAAGTCAGTTGTTATTATATTTTGGAGGAACATTCTTCTAAGTGGTACAGTGCTTTTCTGTCAATTTGCTGTGCTGAGGTAACCTGGGGTTGCTGTGATGCTGAACCTTGTGCCATTGGAGTGTCAAATGGCATAACTGTTACCCATGGTGTACAGTGTTTGGTGGTGCTCCCAGTTTCAGACAGGTTTGAAAGCAGGAGTGGCATCCACTTCTTAAACAATATGCCTCTGTGAACTTTGATAAATGACAATAGTTATAGAAAGGCTTCAGGCCTTTTGTTCACAGGGTCACTATGAGTTGTGCTTGACTCAACAGCAATTAACAACAGCATTTGGTTAAAAGATACCCTTTTAAGAACAACTAACCATTTATCGTGGCTTTGTTCACAATAGCAAGGAATTGGAAAAACCTAAATGCCCATCAACAAACAAATGGATAGAGAAACTGTGGTATATTCACATAATGGAATACTACGCTGCATTGAAAAACAAGGAACTCATGAAATATTATTCAAAATGGGTAACTCTGGAAGACATTATGCTGAGTTAAATATCTCAGTCGCAAAAGGACAAATACTGCATGGTGCCACTGTTGTAAAACAGGACTGACATCAGGGTTGGGGTAAGACTGAGAAAGAAGGGATAAATAATGTATACTGCATTGAAACAAATGAGGGAGAAAACTGTTTAAAAGGGATATGTGATTAGGTATTATTGCCATGACAGGATTAACATTAGGTATTATTGACATGTACAGAATGAAGGCTGCACAGTGGAGTGGACTTTGGGGGAGGGATTGTAAAACAATGAAATAATTTTTATTTTTACTTTTCAAAGAGAAGAGGAGGAGGGTGAGCAGGTAGAAAAGTGCAACAATGAGTGGAAATTCAAAGTCTCTGTAAATTTTCATTAAAATTAATAATAACAAAAAAGAACAATTAACCATTACAACAGAGTTCTGCCATTTTTAATCTGGCCAAAAGAACCTACTTCATATTTTACAGACTAGCACTTCATACACTTGTAATATTGCATATAGTTTCCTCAGTCTTCCCTTGTTTAGCTCACCCAGATATTTCACCTGTTCCTAATCTGGCCTGGTATCCTGTGTCTTCAAAAGATGACAGGGGTTGATAGTACAACATCAGCCATGGAATTTGGCAGCTCATTTTAGAAATGCACTGTCATGGATCAAGAATTGAGCAAGATGCTGTGCATGGATAGTTTAGAAAAAGGGAAATAACTCTCAGGAGAGTGATGATGATGAAAGGATCTTGAATATAACCATCATCATGTAATGGATTTTGAAATTTATAAAACTCAAGAAAAGTGCTCTAATCCAAATCAAGTGACATTTTCTAGTCTAGTTTATCCATTTGTTTAAAAATACATCACTGAGCATATTTTCTTGTCCAAGGCTTGATATACATTTTGGAGACTGGTAAATTCTTCTTAGCACCAAAGAAGGAGAATCAAAGACTAGAACAGAACTCCAGAGAGCCAACTTGGTACTGCTGTCCTTCGCTGGGCCCTATGCACTTGATGCTTTCAGCTCTCTGAATATAGTTGTGTGGCTGCATTTTGTGTCTCCTTCAGCTGACCCCTGGATAGTACAAATGATTATAACACATGCAGCTACTATCTGAAAAACTGAAGGTTTCATTTTACCAGAGGCTTCCCAAAGAAAAGCCTGGTCAGTCTTCTGGGGGAAAAAAACAAACCCGACCCAAACAGCTTTTGAAAAGTCTATAGTGCACAGTTCTACTCTAACACCTGAGTGGGGCGTGACCTGATGGCAACTGCTTTTGTTTCTAGTTACAAGTATCCAGAGATCACTGTGACCCAAAAGCTCAAGTAAACTGGCTCACTGTGGCCTGTAGGGGGAAATGAACTCCCATGATTAGAAAATAGGGAAAAGAAAAGATATCTATAGAATCCAGTACAGTCTGAACTGACCAGATTTTCGTTAACAACTTGGACTGGCAGAGGAACCCAAAATTACAAGAAACCAATTCAATGAACCTTTCAGGGATGGGTTTTTAGTTATTAACAACCAGGAATTTTTCCTGGCAAAAGCTCTGTTGTAGCTTTACACATTTTCAGACACGGTGGAGGATACAGAGAAGATCCAGCCTTGCTTTCATGGCCTATCCTTAAAATTTAATGGACAGCCAGAATCACACATAATTTTTTTTAACATCTCTACAAACATCATGTATAGAAGCACAACCACATGGCAGAGGTGGAACTAGGTGAAGCCAGGGGGCAAGTGTGTCCAGGGTAATATCTGGCAAGAAGATCAATAATAAAAAGAAAGCATTGAAGAGGAAGTAGTCCAAGTTAAGGTAGAAGAGTAGGTGATAATTACAGCAATGAGATTATAAAGTCAGGCCCCCCCACCAGGACTGAGACCTGTGCAGGAAGGTGAACAGAATATGATAGCAGTTGGACATCCTGTAGTCCAGCCATTTGTTTTATAGGTGAGTAAACCAAGATCCAGAGAGGGCAGTGGTTTGTCCAAAGTACTATAGTCAATGGTGGAAGCAGGAGTGGAATTCAGAGCTTGAAATTGCTGCCAACTGCAGTCACCTGTGTAAGAAGCCGCCTCTCTGATTTCCCAGCTGCAATGAGAGTGTCAACCACGATATAATAATGGTGTCTTTAGCAAGACAAGTATAGATTCAGGCTGTTCCATTCCATGAAAGAAGAATTAGCCTTGAAGAGGGGCTGTGCAGCTTCCCAGGGTGTATGCCTGGGAGGCAGGGACATAGCGAGTAAATGCTCTGTAGTTGGGGAACAGAACATCTTCAGGTACTCACACCAGGAGAGGTTTAATTTGTCCACAAAACTTTGACCAACACCTACAGAAGAAGCAAGGTCATGCATCTTTGCTCTAACTTCTTTTATTCAGTGTCTTTATCTTCAAGGCAAGACATCCACATAATCATCATTGTCACTGTTCCCTGGGGAGGAAAAATACAAGTGTCATGACAACCAACCTCATTCAAAAGATAGAAGACATTTTTCCCCAAGCACAAGGTGATCTTGATGCCACATCAAAATGACGTTTTCTAAGGCTGAGTTACCACAGGAACTCTCAGAATAGAAAGTTCCTTCAAAAGTCAAACCTCAGAGCTTCTAGCACCAGAGGTCTCCATCCACCAGCAGATATTCTTTGCCTCCCTCAAGTAAGAACAGCAGGACCTTGCTTGAAGGAGGCAAACAAATAAAAAACACACACAAAAAAGTGAGGCTGATGGGTGGAAGTTGTCCCTTCAGCAGCTGATGATTTGGGAGTTTATTCTGACATGTCCTGTTCTCCTTACTCCTCCTCACCCTGCCTGCCCCCACTTCCTCCTTAAAAAGAACAAACAAACACACAAATAAAAAAAAACCCAAAGTCAAAGTTGATTCCAACTCATCCTGACCCAGTAGAACAAAGTACAACTCTCCATAGGGTTTCGGAGGCTGTAAATATTTATAGAAGCAGACAGCTTCAGTTTTCTCTCTCGGAGCACCTGGTGGGTTAGAACTGATGACCTTTTGATTAACAGTCAAACCATTAAACCAGAACTCATTAAGGACTAACCAAGCATAGAAAATTGGCATTCCCAGTTTTAGAGATATCTGAGGGGTCCCTTTCTTGGAGTTTGTGATTATTTTACCATTGCTCAGACAATAAATATTACCAACACCCCAATCACCTCTAACGTCTCACCTTGGATACTTAAAAACTGCAGCACAGTACATTCACGGACTTACAGCTCTGAACCTTTCATATTTATTCTATAAATTTGGTATCAAAGGTGACCTTTTCTGCAGCTGGGTCTCTAGAAAGTTTTGGGTTCATGGGTATACACGTCCCTGTGTGAGAGCCATGGAGCAGTGGAACCATGACGGAATCCAGCAATAAGGGAGTTTTTGTTTTAATCATTAAAAACCCAAACGTAGACTTGTTAGGGAGGAAGGAAGTGTCCCGTGATGATGTAAAAGACAACTTCGCTGGTGAGAGAGTGAAAGGATATGAGGTCATTTTCCGCCCCTACCCTTCTCCCTAAGGAGCCCTGGTGGGCCAGTGCTTAGACACATCAGGCTACTAGCTGAAAGGTCAACAGTTCTAACCTACTAGCTGTTCTGTGATAGAAAGATGGGCAGCCTCCTGTAAATACCTAGAGCCTAGGAAAGTTAATGGAGAGTCATTACGAGTTGGAACTGACTCAATGGCAGTGAGGCATTTGGGGGTTTATTTTGCTTTTTGATTCTTTCCTCTATGTGGTACAAGGACTTCTACTGCCATCACCTGCCCGTGGATAACAGAAATCTTTTACATTGAGAATATAGCCATGCACTCCACCATTAGAAAACAGGATTAATATGTAAATACCTCAGGAAGCCCAAGTTAAATCCAAGTCAACTTATACCTGGAGGACACTGGACTATTTTCTTTGGGGAGCAGAGTAAGGAAGCTTAGTAGTAGGATCTTAGAGGTCTCAGCACAAATTCTCTGCACTCAGATTCACTTGCCATCTCTCATAGTCCACCATAGTGGCATTCTTGAAATCATTTGTCATCTAGCACTTTGTAAACGAATGCTTAACAAATACCAACTAGTTTCATAGGTTGAGCCTGAGGAGAGGCTGTGCTTTTTTCACTGAAAACCTCTGCCTGTCTATCCATTTATTTGGTTTTTCACTAGGTCACAAAATTAATTTTAAATTGGCCCTTCACCTATGAATCACTTTAGCTGTCCTACATGTCTGGGCATAGAAACCCCCATGTCTTAGCCAACTTCAAGAGTTAGAAAATAGCAATAGTAGGAAATGATTCTTAGAAGCATGACATTTTTAGAGAAAACGTCCTAGAAGGGGTGGCTACCTAGTATGTGTTCAGGTTTGACTTACAACAAAAATCAATAGTTTTGTTTCTCTTCTAGACCAACAAGGATCAGTATGTTTTCTTGCTGCCTTTTGCTTAGTTCTATCAGCCTTCAAGTGCTATTTGTTGAAGCTGGCCACCTAGTGAGTTGTATTTGTACCTGCTTCTACTAAGGTTATAATTTTAAAATAGCCCTTTTGATCTTTAGGTGATACAGATCAAAACAGCTAAACAGGAAGCGAATGCATCAAGCATCTAGTGAGCAGCCTCTTGATTTAGTTCTGGTCATCCTTTTCGATTTAGTTTGAGCACAGCTCCATTTGCAGAGGGAAACCAGATGTTCCAAGGGACAGAACATTCCGATTCTACAAAACAGGCCAGTGGAGGGATAAGGGACCAAAGTTCCTCCCTGACTCCCATAGGAGTTTTTACCATAAATGCCATTCATCGTCATTTCCAATCTTCTTCTTTCCAGACAGGTGCCTGGCCTCATTATTGGTTTTAAAAGATTAACCACCAGCCCTTGGTTTGGTTTTCCAAATTTGGAAATCATTTCCTTTAGGCTTGGAAAGTTCTGTTTTTGTATGCCTTCCATAGTCTGCAAAAGAACAAGAAAAGGAAATCGCTCACTGTTTTGCCATTGTGAAATGTCAGTAACCCTTGAAAAATGTGGTTTTTAGTGCAAGACTGCATCTTGTAAGTCAACAATCTGAAAATGAAAAGCAAACTAACAAAAAAATTAAACCCACTTTCATCAAGTTGGTTAGGATTTATGGCAACCCTGTAATTTACAGAGCTGAACACTTTCGTGGGGCATTCTTCTCTATAATCTTGCAGAACTTGATGGCCACGTCTGCCTTCCACTCTGCTGCTGAGGGGTTCACACTGCCAACCTTCCATCAGCATTAAGCACAAACTCAGGGATCTTAACTGAAAACAAGAATGAAAGAAAATCAAATCCCCTGCCATTGATTCAATTCCAACTCACAGTGGCCTTCTGTCAAGTTTCCATAAAGGCTGTAAATCTTTATGGAATAAGAATGTCCAACCTCCTTTTGTGGAGTTGTGGCGGATTTGAACCCCAAACTATTGGTTAGCACTCAGACATATAACATATTATGCCACCAAGATTTCTTTCACTGAAAAGAAATGGCTGGCAATTCTTGGGCACTGACATTGAATGGAGTGCATGCTGCCTTCTTCAGTTTAAACCATTGATTTAAACTACTAAATCTAAAAAAAAACAAAACACCCCCCCCTTTACTACCAACCCATGACTGACCCACCATTGGGTTTCCAAGAATGTAACCTGCATGGGATGAGATTGCCTATTTTTCTTCCAAAAACTAGGAGTTTTAATAATCAAGAGATTCCCAGTTGAGTCTACAAGCAGAGTGAGCACCCCTTCTACATCCTTGGAAAGTTTACCTGGAGCAGTTCTTGCAGTAGATTTGCTGTGAAGGATGCCCTTTCAAGAATTTCTATCAGACCCTGTGCCTTGTTGACTAGAAAATGGCTTTGTTTTCTCTAGGGACTGAGAGCAAGGGGCCTCGGAGGGGAAGTATGAAATCTGCATGCTTGATAAATCTAGAATCTGCATAGGAAGAAAACACATTTTTAAAAATCCGAATTTACTCCATAGACCACACCTTTAGTCATCCTTCAGATCTAGAATAAAACTCATCCCCATGGTTCAGCTTTTAGTTAGACGATAGACAGACCTATAACGTGACCAGAGGCATTCACTCTTTAAAATAACTAACCATATAAGGTCAAAGAGCAGCACCTGCCCAAGAGTAAAGCCCAAAGGCAGGAAGGAGTACAATAGAAGGGTTAATGGATGAAATATGTTTATGGTATTGAAGTCTATGGGGGAGAGAATAGTCT